CCCCCCCCCCCAGCCTCTGAGGCGGCTCTGCTTCCGTTGGCCTCTCCTCTGCATTGAGGGGAAGATGCTGCTGCAAGGGCCTTCTGCTCTGGCCCAGCACTGGGAAGCAACCAGACATGTCTCCCAGCAGCTGCTCCCGAGCATGGAGTCAGGGAAGCAGATGCCCCTTCTCAAGCAGCACAAAGGGGCAGCTTCCCACAGCCCAGGCCTAGCTGCCGGCCTCACAGAGGCCTTGCTCCAGGCCTCTAAGGGGCATCGAGACAGAGCTGACCACTACGGAGAAAGGAAAGGGGGAAAGGGAGACAGGGCAGTGGGAAAAGCTCTTAGGGAGAGTTCCTAGAGGGAACTGTGCGGTGGGAAGTTAGCGTGAGACGGGACGGCAGCTCCTCTAAAGCATCATCTAGTCAAGAGGACATTGTTTTTACCGCTGTGTCTTCACATCCACGCCCGAGAGAGGAAACTCCTCCTGTAAGGACAAGGAAGGGAACATGCAGTCCAAGGACTAACAGGCCTGCTGCAGAAATGAAGGCGAGGGACAACGGTGTGGTCTCTGCAGCAACGGGAAGCAAACAGGTGCACACCCCATGCCTCCGGGGACGCTGGTACTGCACTCTCATGCCCTGGGAAGTTATCATGCTAGACTGCCAGGCGAGGGAGAACGCAGTTCACACTGGCCACTGTGTTCTTTGAGAAGCAGCTGGTCTTTGACGTTTCCTTGAATTAAACGGATCGATTCTTAAAAGCCTGAAAAAGCCTTCTCCCATTTCTCGGCCGTTGACTGGACAGGTCAAGAGATGCCGACACCCCATTCTGCCTAGGCCTTGAACTCCCTCTGTTCCTAGAGAGCTGGGCTATTACCGCACTGGCTACTGCTCCATGTCCAAGTGTGTTTGCGTTACAGTTCCTTTCTCAAGACCACCAGGAAAGGCCCTAAGCAAGCAACTCCATAGTAATAATTAGGCACACACGCCCACATATTTTGGTGGTTGCTGCGTTGAACGGCTGCGCACGGAGTGAGCCAGGCTTGAGACACTCAAGATTTCCAAAGCAGCCCAGCGCTCGGTGGAAACCTACAGACCCACGTCTGCGGAACAGCAGTGCTTTTTCGGCTGCCTGCTCTACCACGAGCTGTTAAGGCACTGGAGTTTGGACCAGTTGACCCGCACCTGAGAGACCTGGCCACGTGGCTCGCGGACCTAGCCCTCGCCCCGGAAAGCAAGGGACTTGTGACAAAGCCGCACTTTAAGCCCTTGAGTTAAGGCTGGCAGAAGCAGTCTGGATTTGAGGCAATCAACATGTCACCTGTTGACAGACGGGGTTAAAATAGGAGACGATGTAGGCCCTCGACGCTGCTGTGGTCCTCCAGAGGCTTCCTTCTTCAAGCAGCCCCACGTGGTAAACACCTGTTAGTCACAAGCAAAGCTCCCTTTACACCTTGGACTTGCTCATGCCAGAAGAGTTGTGTTCAAGGCGTGCTCCCATCCTTGAGGCATGCTGACACCCAGCTGATGTCACAAAGCTTGGAGTGAGTGGGTGTGCCACCAAAAGACAGGCTGCAAGCACTTTGGAGGCTTGGGCAGGGGAACAAGCCAGCCCTGGGCATCTGCCGGGCTTTTGTAGCTCTTCATCAACCCTTCTCCAGCTGCCTGCCTCCACACGGCTGCCTGCTCCACTCTGAGAGTCGGGCACACATGCCATCAGTGTCTCTCCTCTCTTCTTCTTGCCAAGAGACAATGAGGCAACAGGGGCCTCTGAAGAGATGAAGATCCCTTCCCCAAGACATGCTCCTTCCTCCTGAAGGAAGCTTCTCCACCTCCGGGGGGAGCAGGCTCGCCACTGCCTCTCCCCAGGCTTAGGAGGCCTGGCTTCAGCTGCCGGAGCCACTCTGTCCCCACCCCAGCTCCGCTGCTCTGAGGCAGCTGGAAGTGTGGGAGAAGCCCCTCTCTCAGGGACTGCCTGCTCCTAGCTGGCCTCCTCTGACCACAGCCGCCTACAGGCAGCTGGGCAGAACGAAGCACTGGGGCTCTCCTGAAGAGCCGCCCACTCACTCGTCACTGCCGAGCTCTACCAAAACTCACCAAAAAGGAAAGAAAACAGGACAAGCAGCACCAGGGGAACCGTCTTGTGAGCCTTCATTTGCCTGCGGAGGAGCACGGAGGAAAAGAAGGGTGAAGCTGGCTGGAGCTGTGCAGGTCCGAAGCAGGCTGCAGAGCAGCAGCAGCAGCCACTGCAGCTCTTGCACCTGGCCTTGCTGACTCGGGAAGTGGCCTGCTCCCGCACGAGCCCCACTCCCTGAGCAAGGTTTCACCCACTGCGGCCTTGGGGCATTCGGTAGGGCAAGGATTGGAAGTGGGGAGCTAGGCGTGAAGGACTAACTGCAGACCAGGAGAACTGCGGCCAACAAAGCTAGGGCCTAACTTCATGCCTATGGGAGGCGAGGCGAGGTCATTGTCTGGAGACGGAAGGGACATCATTCACGCCTCCTGCCCACCGTCCAGTCAGCACCGGGGCCGATACAGTTCGCCCCCCACCCTCCAGAAAAAGACTCTCCCTCAGCTTTACCTTGCAGTACTGCCCAAAACTTGGAGCGCAAAGCGCTGAGCAGGCAGGATGCAAACCAGAAGAAGATTCACAATGAGCCGGACAGCTCCTGAAAAACAGTCCAGAGGGAAAAAGGTCAGTGAGCTCGTGGGTGCTTCTAGCTTAGGTCTTCTCCTCGTCCTCTTTGTGTTGGCAGAAGGGCAGGAGGCATTGTCCTGCTTCTGTCACTTGCTCCTGCTTCTGTCAGGTGCTCAGCAGCTGCAAGCAGGACAGGGGAAGGGAAACGAATTCCCTTCAGCCCAAAAACACTGATTAATTAGGTCATGTTTCCCCGTTCGGGCCACAGAGGGTCCGTCAGCCCCTTAGTTCCTAAGCACAGCTGCCTGTCAGGGTCACCAGGACGTCCAGGCGCAGCCCAAGGCCAGGCATTCTGGGAGCTCTTGCTCTGCCTCTGACAAAAGCTGACAGCAACGGGGGACTGAAAGCTCTTCATCAGCTACGGGAAGTGTAGGGAGAGTTGGACCTGGACGAGGAAAGCTGCCTAGGAAGCAGCAGGCAATCATTGCCTCTTTCCGCATTGCAGAGAAAAGGCCCCTGTTGTGGCATGAAGCCTCCACGTTGCGATTCCTGCCTTTGCATGGCTGAGCCATGCGGAACCAACAGCTCTCTTCGTGTAGTTGCGTGCGAACACGTTTTTCTCGTCGCCACTGCACAACAGCCTTCTCTTTCCGTGAAACCAATCCCTCCTGTAAACGTAAATCAGCAGCGCGAGCTGCACTTAAGGGTCGCGTCAGCTTACCTCTGCCTGGATGCTGCAGCTGGCGTTGGTCCTGCCTGCAGACTCCAGGGCTCTGGAGAACAGGCCCTTGGCTCGCAGCTTGCCTACGGGAAAGAGAAGGGCTCAGGCGCTCGGGGCCCACGCTACCTGCTGTTGCCTTCAGCCAGCTTGACGCTGAGCTCACAGGCTGCCCTTGTGTTCTTCACCAGGCCGTCCCCCCACCCCAGCTGAGTAGGTGGACAAGGCACTTGGGGAAAAGAGAGCAGGCGTTGTAAAAGTCTCCAAAGCAGCACGTCCATACCAGCGTACATCCTGGCCTGGCTTTCTAAACATAGCTGCAAAGCTGCAGCTACCAAACACTCCGCTCGCTCAGGCGGGAGCCAAAATCACTCCGATCACCTTGCCTTCACAACACAGAGTGACCAAGCGGCGGGGCCAGCCCCGAGCTGTCGCCCTGCTCTCGCTACCTCACACAGCAGCGACAGATTGTGATGTCAATGGCAGTCGGTGACATCACAGTATAAAAGGCATTGCTTACTTTCTAGGCCAATGCCACCTTATCTATGTGTCCCATGAGGCAACTCAACAGGCCGTCAGCTATGCCATAGATTTACTCAGGATTATTGAGGTAACAGCCCTTATTGAGCCCTTATTGACCCTTTTATTGAGTTCAGAGCTAACAGCCCTTAGTATGAGGAGACAGGAAAAATGTCTTTCAAAACCAAACCAAGTCAGTAATGCTTTAGTTCATTCAGTCTAGCTCAAAGTAGTCAAAAAGTTCACGTCATAATAAGCATCCAGCAGCTGAACTAAACTACATGAAGACCAGATGTAGTGGGTTCATCTATCATTTGTAGAAAGTTCATAGGACTGCTCCTTTCTTCATGAGGTCCTTCCTTTGATTCCCTGCCATTAAAACCAGGCTCCTTCTCTAATTTAGACATTGAGTACTGTTGGGATCAGATGATAACATGGCAGCAACTTCCTCCATAAACGCCAGTGCCCCTGGCTGTCTTTGCAGTGCTGCAAAGCTTGCCTACACAGTGCCAAACAAACCCCACAGAAGATATTACCTGAAAGGCACAGAACATCTCTCCCTATCTAGGCTGCTCTTCCTCCTATTGAAGTCATCTTCCACTGACTTCAGCAGTTCAGGGTCAAGCCTGTGCAGAATTAGCTGCTTGGATTGTAACTTGTTTTTCCTCCATTGTGTGTCAACATATCATAAACAATAAAGCAACATTTTGTGTTGTAGGGGATAATAGCTTAAATGAATCATTTGGCATGCTGTAATCCTGGGGGAGCTATTTTTCTTTCTAAATAGTGGATACAGTCAGGGAAAAAAGAAAAGTCACAAGCATCCACGTACTTCTGTGTATTCAAATGCCAGATTTTTGTAACCTGTCATTGTCCAAAATGCTCTTGTAGCCTCATGACAAACCAGATTGTCTGTCTGCAGGTGACCTTCTCAGGTAGCTTTAGTGAGGAGCAAAAAAAAGACCTTCTCTCTGCTATAAAAGTATCTTTAAGGGTTGAGCCTTCTTCAGAGTTAAGTCTAGTTTGATGGTCATGCATCCTTAGTCCTTCACATACTTTGGTGAAAGGTTTTATTTCCCGTAAGAGGCACAAAACTCTGTCGCTTGCCAGCACCATGTTTTCTCCCAGCCCTACAAGACTGCAGAAGGAGGGTGGCTCTTCAGGAGGAAGAAGCCTCCTGATGCCTTTGTGTTTCTACCTGTTTCAGCACAGAAAAATAGGTTATAGGTAAACTCTGCTGGAGGCGTGCAGGGAGGCCACGCAAGCAAGTGCTGTCTCCTTGAGCGGGCACCTACTCGCTGTGAGAGGGACACCAATGTTCAACTCAATGCGCTGGGCCACATGGTGGCAAGGAACTGCAAGCGAGCCTAGAAACTGGGATGGGGACATTTGCCTCAGAATGTGGGTCCTTCACCTTATTTCCTTTTAAATAAGGCTTTCTGTATGTACAGCCAGACTGGCAGACTTCCCATTCTCCCAGTGCTGCTCCCGTTTTGTCAAGTTTCACACTATGGTTCACTTCAGCCTGTAATCAAGGATAAACATCTAATTTACAGCTAATTTTGGGGGCACACCATGCCACCTTATCCTTGACCCACCATAGCAGAAAGGAATTTTTAGCGTGCCTGAAATGCTGAAGTGCTGTTTTATATCAAGTGCCTTAGGCCAACATTTAAGCCTCCCTGTACTTTTCTGCTATCCTTTTCTCATCTCTGTCCCCTTATCTGCTGGCTTGGCTACTATTTCTTCCAGTTGGATATTTGCAGAGGGCTAAAGCTCTTTTTCCTCTCTAGCTGGCATGTCACTTCAGGTAGTAGCTAGCTGTTTGACCTTTCTGGATGCCCCCTCCTACCTGACTTCATATTTGATCCTTTTTTACCTCTTCCTGTGGCAGGACTTTGAACCTGAGTTTCTCCAAAGGAGAACCTGGCATGATCCAGTGGTTGGCCAGCCAGCCGCTATAATAAGAAAACACTTTGAAAAAATTGCTTGGAAATATATAGCCTGTATATCCTCCGAGTAGAGCAGATAATTGGGGTGACCAGCCTGTGGCTTGTCACAGCACAGAACTAAGCTCATGAGCCAGGGACTGGTGCAAGAAATGGAGAGAGGAAGCAGAGGGGGGACTCACAAGCTGCCCCATCCCATCCACCTTCCTCTGCTGCCCAGCAGAGATCCCACACTGGCCATGCAGTCACCGTGCCCAAGTTGGGGCCTTCTCTGTTGCTGGAGTCGATGTTTCAGCTCTGAGTGGAAAAGGAGAATTTGTTGTCCCAAGCCCAGGGCATAGGTACTCAGGTTACCTGCCCTGCTGATCACCTGGAGGAGTTTTCATTACCATAACAGTGAGTCCTACAAGATTTTGTTTTCCTTTGCAGGTCGGTTCCTGTGACTGTGGGCTTCTGTTACATTTTTTTCTTCTGGGGTTTTCAGCAACAAAAGCTGAAAAGATTTATTGGAAATAGAGCCTTCTCAAGGAAATGTGCTTTTGAATAAAGCCTATTTACTTGAAAACCATTTTGAAAGAGAAGTGCTGTTTAACTCTAAAAGGGTTTCCTTTCTCCTATTCTTTGGCAAGCAATGAACTACAGTTAGCAGCATCAATATCTGAAATACCTTTAGCTCCTGGATTAACACCTATTGAGATGGATGAGGCAGTTCACACATCTAATCTGATTTATTCAGGATTTCTGAAAAACACTCTTAGTTAGCAGTGCATTAGTCCCTCTCAGGTACCACTTTCTACATTCTCTTTCCAGCTCTGCCAACCAGATACGTGTTGTACATGAAAACGGAGACGTTAGAGAAGGCTGCCGCTCAAAAGAGACTCCAGGCCACAATGTCTTGTTTATTGCTAAGTCAATAAGCTTTGGTCTGGATGTTTGCTATGTTTTCTAAGGGCTGATAGATCTAAGAGTAGAAGATAGGGTGACACTGCTGAACAATGACGGCTCTATTGCACATACAATGTATTTAGATCTGAATGGACAAGTTATTCACCATAAATCAATGTAATATTGGTCTTACAACACCGTATTCTTTGGACTGATAGAACTGAGATAAGACAGTTATTTATGTTCTACCAAATCACAGAAAGAAAGACAACGTTTGAGTAACCGTATTTCAATAATGACTGTTTAGGAACTGTAAATTAATGAAGTTTGAGTCATAACGATTCAGTGATGTTGTGTGACAGCTCTAAAGAGAACTGGGATTTAGTTTAGTTTTCCACAACTGCTAATCTAAGAGAGACTACATAAAGTCTATTTTGTCTGCAGACAACATTTCACCTAACAGAGAAAGTGTGCTGATTTAATACAAGGTGATTCAAGCTTTTTGGTTATGGGGATACTGAATATTTTAAGATCCCACTTTGGGGGTCTTTTCTTCCAGCAGCATACCAAGATTTCCTTCTCTTTACTGGAGGTGCATGACAGCATCTCCCTACTTACATGTAGCTGTAGAGTATCTCATCTCATGCATATAGCTTATGATCCTATATGATCATAGTTGCAACAGGAGACACCTAACACCTATTTCAAGTATCATAGGGCCAGTGGAAAAGTCGTTTAGTGTCCAGCTAGAACAAGTCTCTACAGAGCGCAGCCAACACAAAGCCACTTGGACTACTGTGCTTTAACATATAAACTGATATCAGAAGAGATGCATTTATACATGTTTCAGTTTGTTATTTGCGGATAAAGGAGCACCAGCATTACTGAACCACCCTGGAAACAGACTTCTGTTTCCCAACAAAGAGAATTTGATAAGAAACATAATGATCCTATGACAAGCTGTAGAGCTTGGAGCGAGCAAGAAAGAATAGTGGAGGCATAGAGGCAATTTATGGTCTTTTCGCTTGACTACAGCCTGCTATTCGAGCCGCATATCAAACAGCAATGCTGGAGAGCCTTCCCTCTCACATCCGTGCTTTCAGACCGCAAAGCTGCTGGATCATGTAAATGTACAGTCATACAAGATGCATCAGTGACAGTTTAAGCTTGCCTTGAGATGATAAACTCGGTGCTAACTTGAGAAAGAAAGAAAAAAAGTCTTCTTGGCTCTCTTAGGAGGAGAGCTGCAGCGCGACCGGGACTGCTAACCCATGCAGCCATCAGGAAGGCCTGCTTTTCGCAGGTATTCCCTTGCACGTATCTCACAGAAAGTAGCGTCACAGCTTTTTGTTAGTTCCAAGAAGGAATGCAAAGAACTTGAGATACCTAACTTCCTTATACCACAAATGCAGGAAACCACAGACTGTGCTGAGCCTTGCTGAGCTTACACATGCTACTCCATTGCGTAAGCAGTAGATGGCACTCTTTCGATTAACTTGCTCCAAATCATTTCTGATATTAATACACACATACACACCAATCTTAGGTTCTCAGCAAAATATTTAAACCAGAAAAGTCCATTTGTTTGAAATTTTATCTTAGGCTTCTTAAAAAAGTGATAAGAAAAAGAAAGAATAAATTCCAGTCTAGAGTTTTCAGGGTTTTGTGATTTCATTGCAGTATTTCCTCTGTTCCAATCCTTCTTTTTAATGCTTTAGTATAAAAAGGTGTCTCCATTGTGCCCCCCATCAGCGTCTTTCAAGACTGGTAAATGACCTAGACAGATCAAAACATCCAGTCCCAACAGGAGAACAAGCCTTTCTCATAGCGTCTGCTCTACAGGGCCCCAGTATAACAGGATGGGGTGTTAAATTTCCTCCTGTCCTTTTTTTAGAGTGGGAAACATCATCTGGAGTAAGCACCAATTCACACAAGGACAG